CGGCCAGAGCCGCACGGCTCCCCAAGCCGGCAATTAAACGGCGCTTCTAATGAGAAGCAGCGGTCAGTGCTGGTCACCGACAGAGGGACCATGGGCAGGGGGCAACTGTAGTCCCCAGGGGACACGGGAGATGGAAGGAAGCTGCTTCAGGGGAATTTTAGTTTGGACATTAGGAAAAGGCTCTTCACTGAGAAGGCGGTCAGGCACAGGAAGAGGCTCCCAGGCTCCCCAGGGAAGTGGTCATGGCATCAAGCCTGCCAGAGTTAAGGATTGCCTGGATGATGCTTTCAGTCATATGGTTTAGCTTCAGATTGTTCTGCAAGGAGCAGGGAGTTGGACTGGATGATCCTTATGGGTCCCTTCCAACTCAAAATAGCCTATGATTCTGTGGTACCACATTTGATGCTGTTTCAGAGCCAGAGTCCTCCATGCCACCCCCAGACACCACAGCACAGCTCCCCAGTGATGCCAGATGGCCCAGTCGAAGGAATAAAGGTCTTTTTTCCCCCCTAAAATGGTTAGGTTTGCCCCAAAAGGCTTCTTCTTGTGCTCCAGGGGATGCTGGATCCAAATGCAGGGATATGGCCACGTGCAGAAATGCAGGGAGCAGGGACAGCTCAGCCACATCAGTGCAGATCATGGGGCAGCACTGTCACCCTGTGCTTGCCCAGTGCCTGCAGCCACTCATGCAACAAGTCTCCAGGTCTCAGTTCATGATATGGGGCGACCATCTGCCTCTATATGACCCATCCCTAAGATGGGACCCCTTTGGGGACAGATTTAAGGGGGTTTGTTGGGCACAGCCAGGCACCCTGGGTCAGACTGGAAACCCAGAGCTGGAGGAGAAGGGTGCCAGGAGAATGGCCACAGACATGGGTCACTGACCAAATCCTTAGGTGACGTGCCCCAGGCCAAGGAGGTTTGATTTTTGCAAGGGTAAACCCCAGAAATCCCAGGATGCTGCAATGCATCCCTGAGCCTGCTGGTGTCACCAAGACACGAACGTCCGAGCAAACAGCAAAGACACATTTGGAAAAAACTTCGCCGGTTTTAGTGCTGGGAGCGGGTTAAAGCCCCAGCCGAGCACCCGCAGCTCTGGCCAAACCGCCTGCAAAATCGCTTCACCGTCTGCAAGTGAAGGCGCCGCTTCCCCTGGCACAAAACGCTGGGATAGGGGCGTGGGAGAGCAAAGCATCCCCCGCCTCCAGCTTTTTGGGGTTGTTTCCAGCAGAAAAATTCCAGGCTTGGAAAGAACATGCACAGGCATTTAAATTTTTCCTTTAATTTGATTTGGTTTCCCCCGCTCTGCTTGATCCTGGGGTAGAAAAAGGTGTTGGCGCCCCACGGCATCAATTCCGCATCCCGTGGTTCACAAATCCTCTTGGCCGCTAGTATTTCCCAATTTGATGAAAAGCATAGAGCAAAGGGGAAAAGGCGGGGGGGAATGGTGTTTTGGGGCTTTCTGCTTGTGGAGCCGGAGGGAGCCAGCACCGCTACGTGTGAGGGGGCAGGGGGCAGTCCTGCGTGGCCACCGGGGACGCG